AATATAAATAAAATAAATAAAAATAATTAAGTAAAATAAATAACTACGAACAACTACCTACCTAATTAGTTAGGTTATTNTATATATTATTATTACTATATTTTTAATATTTTTATTAGGTGCTCCTTGATGAGAAGAATAGACACCCAAAATTTCAAATGATTTGGGTTTGTAGAAAACAATTAAAATACAAAATGAGGTCGTGACTATTAGATCGGCCCATATTGAATCTGGGCCATTGGGCTCATATGTAGTTGTGAGCTAGTAGGCTTACGCCAGCATTTTATATATATATATATATATATATATACAAACCTTTGATACAAGGTGGTCACAATTAATCTGGACCATTGGATGTGAAATTGGGTAGCTGCATTTATTCACCAAGTTCAAAAGAAACTTCTCGAGCTTTATGAGACACCCAAGCAATCAGATTTCACATCAGAGGATCATAAGTAATTGTGACCTCCTTGTAACAAAATAACAGTTTATATATATATATATATATAAGAGAGAGAGAGAGAGAGAGAGATGCTCATACACAATATACCATATCACACTGTCCTCACCTCAGATGGGAATTCAACTTAATCTATTATATTATCTGACATAGATATTAGTATAATAGATTGCCCTATTTATAAGCTTGTGTGTAGTTGTTTATGGCTTGAGTCATCTTGTTTATGGGCTTGTTTAAGTAACCAGGCCAAACCAAGCCATGCTCAAGCTGGTTGGTTTAACTGGAGTCATGCTCAATTTTGTCACAAACTAAGCTTGAACAAACCTAAGCTTGTCTCGGTCCAGCTTGTTGACACTCCTATGACCTGTTAATCCCCTCTTAGTTTAGGAAAAAAAAGAATACTACATGGTTTTGTGAAACAGAGATGTTATAGGCCCCAACCATTCTGACAGCACACATTAGCTTTATCTAGTTTTGGACAGATTATGATTGTCCTTGTTATATCTAGCCCAAGTTTCCTCATAGGAACCCATAAATCTGGGGAGTACCAGGTTAAATTGGTCAGCCAAGGCAATTTGTTTGTTGCAAAGGTCAATTGATGTGTTTGAATTGGGTTCAACTTGTCGGAAATTTTAAGGATTTCATTCTTACTAGTGTATGACATGTTTATAAGTAAATTTTGTGTAGTCTTTTTGCAAATCAGTAGCCTCTAGTTCTCAGAAATAGCTACATAATTTGCATCTGAGATGAAACCTAGATTACATATATTAGAATCAAATTTTTTGGGAATGAATTTTTTATTCTATGATGGCATTTCTGTGATGACCTCACTTTGCCTGAAGTCTCTTTGAGTGCATAGGAAAACAAAATGGATGCCCTAGCATTAAGCTGTTAAGCTGTGCACCTCTTCCCATCAAATAGCATTAAGCTGTTGCTATTTATCATTGGGAGGCCTGAGAAGAACTAGAAGAATATCCTCAAGGCTTGTCAATAGGGCTCTTCTACCTTGATTCAGTCAAATCCTCACAGGCCAATCAAATGTCTTTTATCAACTCTGTAAGCCTCACACCCTCTATGGCCCTGCATTTATAATAAAATTGCTATCCAAATTGTACTTCACATGGGTTGCCCACCCATTAGGCTCTCAGCATCAATATTTGTATTTCATTGCATGCTATTTTTTTTTACTTTATTCAATTGGTTTACCTTGTCTAACATTGGAGAACTCCTTTCGATCCAAGGCCCATGAATTTCCAGAATCCATGGGATGTTCTCTCAAAGTACACCAACAATATGAAAGCCACGAGCAAGTCTAGTGTTTATTTATTTCCAAGTGCCCCAAACTGTGTTAATGGCACATAATGGATTTACAATGACTCTGGCATCTCCAAGCATATCTCAAATAGGATGAGGAAGTAATGCCTCACCATTGGAAGTTTCTGGTTTTTTAACTTTGGTAATTACATCTGGAATACAGGTGGTTCGAGTGTTCATGATTTATCATTATGTGGTCCATTCTTTTAATACAACTCAACCTTCATTACTCCATTTCTTTATATTTGAAATGTTTTTCTCCCACATTATCAGAATAATATGGTTCTCATACAAGTTCCGACTACTTTTCAGGTTCTCATGAATTACAGCCATTGGCTTTGTTTCTACTCATGCATCGTTGCCTGTTCTTCGATTTGCACTGGATTTGTCTCCCTTTATGAGATTTCTTAGCTAAATTTCAGGTTTGCAAGCACAGGATAATCTTTCCAAATTTGAACCGTGAAAGTGGGACCAGCTATGATCCAGATTGGCTAGGACATTGATCCATTAATTATGTTCCTCATTCCTCTTTCGTGATCAGTTAACTAGTTCATGTTATAGGGATTGGCAAAAAGAGATGTTGATATAGTAGATTTGAAATTTGTGTTGTATTAGCAAAAATATGAACATTTTGTAAGAAAATATTCTATGAAACACTGTAAATACAATGTAAGGTACTGGACATTGCTCATTTGTGGTTATACCTTTTGATAGATCTCAAAACTGAATGTTTCAAACAAATTCTTTGGAATGGATCTAGGAGTATTGCCTGCTTGTAGGAACAAGTGAAATTTGGCTCAAGTATCTCTTATTAGGAATAATGAGAAAATTACAGAAGTTATAGCTGACTTATTTCATTTGCCTTTTATCTTGCTTGGAAGACTCGAGGAGAAGCTCATAGGTCCAGCCACACCAGAACTGGCCAAAGGTAAGTGTGTAGGAGAGAGAGAGAGAGTGAGTGAGTTGAAATGTATATGGAAAGCCTATCTTCAACACGTTAGTTTCTTTTCTTTTGTTTTTTGGGAGGGTGGTTAATTCAGGGGGGAAGACGATCCCTACCCGTTTTTTCCCTTTCAATAGATTGGGGAGTTACATTTTGAAGGTGTTAATTGGGGGTGTCAGCGATAGAAATGGATACCACGATGTGGTAATTGGGTGTGGGGATGCTACCATCACGATCCCCGCCCCTTTCCTAAATTTTTTACCAGTCTGTTGGATGCAGCAGATAACTTGCCGCCCCAAACTGCTCCACTTGGGATCAGGGTAAAACGACCTTTTGCAGTTCCACCCTTAAACCGAAAAGCAGTGTTTTATAGACATGTGTGGTCGAGCGTAGCTGTGCCTACAACTAAGGGTGGGTAAGGGGTCCTGTCGACTTGGGTCCTGATCAGGGTCTAGAAGTAGTGACCCCACATCAAGGCTTGTTGGTCCTGGGTCTAGTTGATCCAACTTGATCGGATATTTTAGATATTCTATTTATTTTACTATTTATTTTAGGGTGTGGTTTTTGTAAGGTTGCAACCTTAAACAATCCAATTAAGGTGCAGCTCCAAACTTTTTCATAACATGTATTTTGTATTTTCATATTTAATTATAAAAGTTTAAATTCAAAAAATGGTTAAAATCAGGTAGATCTATAAACATATGAAAATCTTGAAAATAGATATTCTAGATAATGTGTTGTAGGATGTATTATTTTTATGACTCAAAATCTTTCTATTTTTTTTTTTTTCCTTTTTTTTTTTTCATCATATATCTTGATGTCGAGATGATCAATTAAAGGGTTTTTCAATATTGAAACAACCTTTTCTGATGGATTTTTTAGGTTGATCTCTAGTTCTACATTTTAAGGTTGCAACTTTATATAAACATTTCCCTTTATTTTATTGCAATAAATTTGTATATTTACAATAATATTATATATTATATAAGAAAATTGTTTCATATTTTTATATATGCGGTCCAAAAGTGTAAAGTATCCATCTTAAAGATGGACACAAGTAGGTGTTTCATCTAAAAACAATGGAAAGTAACAGTCCAAACATTTACCCCAAAAAAAAAACTAATAGTCCAAATGTTTTTTTACTAGAATTATTATTCTTAATTTTTAAAATTTATTTATTTTTTGATATTCATGATCTCCATGTTAGAGATTACATGCCCTTAAAAAGTAACTCTTAAAATCCATCTCAAAAATAGATTTGTTAAGAGGAGCACATTTCTACATATGTGGGCTTGGCCGCATAGAAACAGGTTTCTATTATATAAAGGTGCGGTTTGTATAGAACCGAGGCTCTAAACAATCAAAGTAAAGCGCACCTTCAAATAGTATCGAGAAATGCGCTTTTAATATTGGAAATCTTTGTGATAGTCTTAAAATATATTTTCATCGTAAATTATGAAATTTAAAGCTTAAAAAATAGTGTAGATTGAGCAGATATTTGAAAACTTCAAAATTGACGGTCCAAAAATGCATTACAAGATGCACTATTTCCGAAACTTGAAATCCATTTTTTCTCATATCCATGCATCTTGATGTCGAAATGATCAATTTTATAATATTTGAATATCAAAACAACCTCTTCTATCGAAATTTTTGATGTGGGCTCTAATTGGATTGTTTAGAGCCTCAATTTTATAGAAACTTTTTCCATTATATAATCTATTGTTATTTTATTATATTTTTATACACTATGTGACATTACTTTTAATATAGTGTATTATATGTGTGGTTTGTACTGAGCTTAATCTCTTAACAATCAAATTAGAGCTTACCTTCAAATAGTGTAAAGAAATGTGGTTTCAATATTGGAAATCTTTGTGATAGCCTTAAAATATATTTTTATATTTATTTATAAAGTTTAAAGCTTCAAAAATAGTGTAGATCGACATGAAAACTTGAAAATCTTGTAATTAACGGACGATCCAAAATGCATTACAAAATACATTATTTTAAAACTTGCAATCCATTTTTTTCTCATGTTCAAGCATCTTGATGTCGAGATGATCAATTTGAAGATATTTGGGCCTCAAAACAGCATCTTTTAATGAAAATTTTGAGATAGGCTCAAATTTGATTGTTTAGAGCCTTGGCTCTGTATATTTCTTTTATATAATAATTTATATCTAGAAGTTTAAAGGGATTCTTAAAGAGAGTTTCTCTTTCTTTGGACTAGTTTTTTCATTGTTAAGAATTAGAGGCATAAATAAGGAGAGAGAGAGAGATTAAAAATAAACAATGCTTAGTTCAACAAGATTCAGGTTGGGTTTGGGTACAATTGACTTTGACTGAGTCCGCGTCTAGCTTGAATCATAATGGGTCGGGTGGGTCGGACCTTACCCAATGGGTGGGTGGGTCTAGGTTCAATTGACTTGTACCAGAACCGGGTTTGTGTCTAACTTAGACTTAGTCAGGTCGGGGTCCGACCTGACCGGTTCCCACCCCTACCTACAGCTCCTCAACAAACCCGAATAGAATGGGCTCACATGTACGAAGTAATGGTGCCATGTGCCATCGCTATCCTTGGATATTATATCAAGCATAATTACCAAGCCAGCGTTTAAAACGTGATTTTTTAAAAAATACTGATTTTTTTTCAAAATCGTATAAAACTGCAACTTTTTGAAAAGATCGGAAAAAATATGTATTTTTTCATATAAACGTTTAAAATGCGTCTTATTGATATTTATAAAAAAATCAGTCCAAAAAAACTTTGCCTTTTTACCTGCATTTTTTTTCTTTTAAATGATGAAAACTCTTTTCCTGTTTTATGTAATTGTTATTTCCATGCTTTTTAAAAAAGTATATTATTTCCATACAAAAAAAAAATACTTCCCTAAAAAATAAATTTTTATCCCCAAGTATATTGTTAGGGTTTATTATCTTAGGGTCTCAAATCCATTGAATCAAACTAGAATAAAATACCATAAAAACCATTAAATAAAAAATCCTCAAATTTCGACTTGGCGAAATTCCACCAAAAAGCATCCAAATTAGGGTTGAAAGACCCAGATTATCACAATTTGTACATTTTAAACCCCTAAAACAAAAGCTTAAAAAAAAAAAAAAAAAAAAAAAAAAAAAAAAAAAAGAACCAGATTAGAGCTCAATCCCCAAACCAAATTCATGATTGAAAATCTTAGATTAATAAATCCATAAAAAAAAAAGGTTAAAAAAAAATATATTAGAGCTCAATCCTCAAATCTAATTCATTACTGAAAATCTTGGATTGGGGTTTATGTCCACCGTGTTCTTCATCTTCTCTGAAATTTTATGTTCATCTTGTTTCTATGTGCCTATGCATGCTCTCTCTCTCTCACTCTGAGTTTCTTTATGGAAGATTTTGTGTTTGCTTCTCTCTCACTTTGCGTAATGCTCGTCTTCTTGTTCTGTGTTTCTTGGTGGTCTACTGTGTTTGTTGCTCGTCTAACCAAAAAATGTATACATCTTCCCATTGCTTAACTATGGTTATAAACGGACGGTCACCATACAGAGAGAGAAATGAATATATCAAACTCAATTCTACTTATCTCACATTGCCTTTTTTTTTTTTTGCATTATGTACTAAGTATATGTGATGTTTGTTAACGTATTTAATGAGAAAATTCATATCGTGTTTTTGTCAACAACTTATTATGTTATTTTTATATTTCAACTTATTTTTTCTTTAGTTTCTACTTAATTTTATTTTAAACATGTTTGTTTTTTTCACTCCGATTTTTAGAGCCTAGTCCGATATATTCGAGATATTTTTACATAAAGCATTTTTGCCGATCCATATTATTGACCCGATTTTTTCATTCGATTTTTTAAAATAAAAATGATTTATTTCTGATTTTATGGTGAGCCGATATATTAATCTTCCTCGACTTGCTAACTATGTATGAAGCACGGATCAAGAAGATTAACCAGGAATATGATGGGGCTAGTTGTGCAAGAACTGTTTGCGAAATAAAGTTAAATGGAGTTCTTGAGAGTAAATCACTGCAGAAAACAATCCCAAAGCCTCTAACATGATATTGTTTCCGTTACCACTTATTAGCAGAAGAGAAGTTAATGAAACCTTGAATTTGAAGGTTCGAACAAAGGGTAAAGGAAAGTATGTATAGCCTTATGTAAAATTTGAAAATCTTGTCCAAGTGGGGGGGGGGGGGGGTGGTACATCACCACCCAACTTGAGGGTTTGAATGCATTGTAAAGGCAGGCATACCAGTCGAATGGAACAATTGAAGTCATTGCCCAATGGTGCTAGCCCGGCCATTGTCCCCATAGGGCTGAAGCGGGCCGGTCTGGGCGAGGCCGGCACCGGCCATCGGACCACAATTTGTGATCGGTGCCCTACTCTTTTTGGGCGGGGCTGTATGCCAATTGCCAGCCCAGCCCAACAGGGTCATCACTGTAGAATGGGGACCTACTGGTACCCGACATGAACCGAACAGAAGATTCCCGAGAAAACAAGACTTGAACTTAACAGGGTCCTAGAAGCTTTTGTTTGTTGGGTAACATAGGTTTTGTAAATGGTATTGACAGAGAGGCATATTCGACCAGGAGCCTAGCCTTCTCCTTTGGTTTAGTATGGAATAGAATTGGCTTGGCACATGAGCAAAGAAGATACCTAACCTTATGATAACCTCACCATGTTACCTCTTTCCCTTGCATTGGTATAATTTCACCCAAGCAAACTATGCTCCCTCCTCCCCTCTCTAAAGCCCCACCACCATTCTTCTATGATGATGTTTCTCTCTCTCTCTCTCTCTCTCTCTCTCTCTCTCTCTCCATGCCTTACGAAGAGAACCCCAAGAAACCCTTTTACATTCCAAAAAAGGCCACCAACCCCTTCTTCTGGCTTGCTGCCATAGCTTGCAGCATACTTGCAAGCGCAGTGATCATAACATGCCTTGTTGTCTTCATAGGATACATGGTCTACAAGCCTCGAATCCCGAGCATCGCGGTCACATACGCGCACCTGGATCGACTAGACTATGATCAATACAGCCAACTCCAAACCCAAATCACCCTAATTGTCACAGCTGAGAACGACAATCGTAGGGCCCATGCCAGATTCTCAGACTTAAGGTTTCTTCTCTACTTTCAGGGGCTTCCCATAGCCGATTTGAGGGCAGCTTCTTTTGATGTGCCAAAGAATAGTAGCCTTCCATTGCACTATGTAGTCCAATCTGCCCCAGTTCCATTAGAAGGAGGAGCAATGGAGGAAATCAACAGTGGTTTGCAAAACAACAAAATTCCTTTCACCTTGAAGGGATCGGTACGTACCAGATGGAGATTGGGGGGAGTGGGGTCGGTCAAGTTCACCTCGCACTTATATTGTTACCTCGAATTCTTTCCTCCATTTATCAATGGGAGTAGCATTTCAAAAGCTTGTGGCACCAAGTCTCAGTGATTAAGGGAAGCAGGTAGTCATAAGCCTTCGACATTTTTCTTTGCCGGTGGGGAGACCCAACGAATTTTCAATAACATATTATGTACATTTATTGCTAAATTTTTACATATATCCATAGATACTACATAATTTTAGATTCAAGTGGAGTGATATTGATGGATGAATCTTCATAGTTTCATTCACTGAGTATGAATGAATGCATACATAGTGATGAATGGCATTCATGTACTTCTTCTTGCTTTTATTTTTTTTCTTTTTTTGGGGCATTTGCAGGAAAGGTTCAAATCTAAGAGTTCGCATTTCGAACCGGGTGTCCCACCGGCATGGTTTCTATTCATGTAAATTCAACAGAGATATTTTGCAAAAACATATGGGTGGACATGGATCGCTTCCTTGAGAGCAAATCATACACTTTCTTGACCAGCAAGAACACACCTATTGAACGAGAATTCATTTTTATCTCAAAATTTCAAAAATATCTTTGATTTAGTGGATGGAAAAAATTAGAAAAGTAAAATGAAATTTGATTTTGAGTTCTTAAAAGTATATATCTAAATAAAATCTATCGAATGTCGGGTTTGGGTTCACTGTTGGAGCAAAATTCATTCAGACCAATTTTAAGCTACGATTTCTTTCTTTTCTCTTTTATTTACCATTCACAGTTGAGATGCAAAGGTCAAACAAATCTCTTACAATACGCTCCTGCAAGAATGCAAAACATATTCCCTGATCACATTAGGGACATGTACGATTTGATGGGTGCGAAAAGCTTCAACATAGGGTAGGATATGGAGTCGATTATTCACCTCCAATCCAATGTATATAGTTGAGAGCAACACAAAATGAGTGTGAGTGGCCTAGACTACTTATCCAAATAGTCATTTGGGCATATTGAGGTGTGGGCAAGCTTTCTATGTTTTCCCTACAACATAAAATTTATATATTTCCCCTTGTCCAACTATCCGTTCTGAATGGAGGGCTAAGATTGCTCCAATCACAATGTCACATCTCTATACTATTTTATTTTTAATTATTTTTCTATAAACCATCTTAAAACCAAAATTTGTACGTTCAATCCTCTATTAAACTCGCACTAGTGAAAAATATAAAAAAAAATATTTCTGACAAAAAAATGATCAAAATACCCCTAAAAAGTTTTAGGGGTATTTTGGTCATTAAATTTTATCGAAATATTTTTTTTAATATTGTTTATAGGTGCACCCCAATGAGAAGATAGCACGTACCAAATTTCATATTCATATAATTTGTATAAAAAATATTAAAAAAAAAATACTTTGAGACGTCAAATCTAATATCACACGATAAGTGGCTCTTTTGATGAAAATTGGACGGCTGGATGGTAGGGGAAGCATAAAAACCTTTTCCTTGAGGTATTGTGTGTATGTTGTTTTAGTTTACAAGGAAATAAGTAAGTACCTTGAGGATAGGAGAGTGTAAGTTAATTAAAAATAGGAGAATGGGGCATATTTTTGAGATGCTAACTACTCCAGCAGGAGCATATTGTGCAGTTAGTTGTGTTTGCTCCCTCAAATAAACTCAAGCTTGGATCAAATTATTTTATTTTATTTATTATTTATTTATTTATTATTTTTAATTTTGGGGTGTAACCTCTAGAACTTAAAAACTAATCACAAAGAAAAAGGACATATATCGTATTCTTTATGTGCGTCAAAAAAAAAAAAATAGTGTCCCAAGATTGATCAAGAACCGTCCAATATTTGGTGGACAAGATATAGGTGATCAAGAAATCAAACAGTCAAACTCAATTTTTTCGTAAAAATAGATCATTTGATATCTAGATCGATCTAAATATTTGGATAAAAATTCCTCCCATGTAGCTCTTTGCCCGAGGGAATTGTTGTATAGTATGCTCCCATAAGAGCATGCTATATGCGCCTGAGAGATATGTTTGGAAAGCAAATATTATTTTATAATACTTAAGGTCCCGTTTGGGTCATTGGATTCAAATTTATCGGAGTCACTCTTCTTGGAAAAGTTAGGCCTATCGTGTTTGGTTTGCTTAGAATTGACATTTCCGTCGGAATTGAGATTTCAGTGGGATTCCTGAATGGACATTTTAAGCCTAAATTTGGAAATATCAATTCCACAAAAAATGACCTATTTTGTTGTTAAAGAACATAAAAATATCAATATTTTAGAGAGGGAAACTATATCAAATTTTAGAAAGAGAAAACATATTAAAATTCTAGAGAGGAAAACTATATCAAATTTTAGAAAGAAAGTATACAAAATTTTTTAGAGAGAGAAAATATATGATTTTTTTAGAGAGAGAAACTATCTTAAATTTTTAGAGAAAAAAACTCTATCAAATCTTAAGTTTTAGAGATAGAAAGTATCATAAAATTTTAGAGAGAGAAACTACATTAAGTTTTTGAGAAGTGAACTGCTTCAAATTTTTTAGAGAGAAACATCGCAAAACATTTAGGGAGGGAAATTATCTCAAATTTTAAGTTTTAGAGACGGAGCATATTAAAATTTTAAAGATTAGAAACTACATCAAATTTTAGATAGAGAAACTACCTGAAAATTTTTGATAGAGAAACTATATCAAATTTTAAGTTTTAAAGAGAAAAAATATCTTAAAACTTTAGAGAAACAAACTATATCAAATTTTAGATAGAGAAAGTACTTAGAATTTTTAGAGGGAGAAACTATTTAAAAAACAATTTAGATATAGAAACTATCTCAAATTTTAAGTTTTAGAGAGAGAAAGTATATTAAAATTTTAGAGAGAGAAGCTACATGAAAAATTTAAAGAGATGAAGTATCTCAAAATTTAAGCTCTAGATAGAGAAAGTACCTTAAAATTTTAGAGAGAGAATCTATATCATATTTTAGAGAGAGAAACTATCTGAAATTATTTAGAGAGAGAATCTATTTGAAATTATTTAAAGAGAGAAACTATATAAAATTATTTAGAGAGAGAAACTATCTCAAAATTTTTATAGAGAGAAACTATTTGAAATTTTAAGTTTTAGAGAGAGAAGTATCTCAAAATTTTAGAGAGAAAAGTATATCAAAATTTAGAGAGAGAGAGTATATAAAATTTTTAGAGATAAAAACTATCTCAAAATAGAGACTATTTCAAATTTTAAGTTTTTGAAAGACTGTATTAAAATTTTAGAGAGAAAAACCGTCTCAAAATTTTTAGAGAGGAAGAGATAAAGGATTTGAATATACCAAAAAAAAGATATTCCAGGCAATCCAAATAGAGAGTTTGTATTTTCTTGATTTCTATCGGATGAGATCCAAACAGCATATACAATATTTCAGAAAATGTTAACCCTAGTAAATCTCACTTCCAAGATTGATTTTTCCCGGGGCTGAAAAACCTATGGATCCGCCCTAACGATTTTTGGAGAGAGGTTCTAGAAATCATTGGTTTTAGTTTGGAAGTCAAGTGACATGCAAGCCAGGAAGCCTTGATGTTGTTGGGCTTGGAGTTTGGTAGAGGAGATGCCAGACATTAGACAGGTGATTTAGGGAGTGACATTAACAACACATGAGAAAGAGAGATGTTAGTTTTAAATGGTTTTAAAGTTAGATTGTATAATGTTTTAAGCCAACTTAAACAACGTATTTTTTTTATTTTTTTGGCGTTTAGGTTCTTAAACAATGTTGTTCAATGATGTGGTTGTATCATTATAGATGAATGTTTGAATGCATCTTCTTGGTAACTAAACAATAAGTAGCTGCTAGTTAGAACTGTTTAAAGGAAAAATTTTGCACCTAAAATTCACTGGGTATTGTTAGAACGACCAAAATGTCTCTAACAAGTTGCGGTTAAGAATGAGCTTGCGCAGATTCGCATGGTTTGCTCTAGTTTTGTTTTTTTTTGTTTGGTAATTTAGTGGGAAAGAGGGGGAACTACCCATTTTTTCATATAGATTAGGGAATTAGCTTTTTTTGAAAGTGTCAATAGGTGTTGTCTTGAAAACACAACATCGTAACTAAGTATGGGGTGCTACCACCACAACTCAGGCCCTTTTCTAGGTTTGTTGTGGTCATGCTCCTAATCTCCAAACTACTTTTAGTTCCTTGGAGTATCGCATTATCCTTTCCAATCGCTCTTACTTGCTCCATCATAGCTACAGTAAAGGAAGAATGAACTCTGATATCTACTATTGGTAGAAAAACGGGCGATCTAACCACTAACCGCCCGGTTAGATCGTAACTAGCCAGTGGCTGGTTCTGGTTTTGAGTGATTTTGGTGATCGACTGGTATTTAAAATAAAAAAAATAAAAAAACATATATATAAGTTTTTAATAATAAGGAATTTGGTTTGTAATGCATCTTTTAATATTCTTTACATTATGGTAAAGATGAAAAATTATTTTTGTCGTTAATACTCACTTTAATTCAAAAATTGATTTGAGAAAATCTATTTTTTTTCATTAATTTTGATTGTTGTTTTTCATATTTTACTTCTTTTTTTTTTGTATCTTTTTTATTTTTTCAATACTTTTTTGACCGCCCAGGACTTGTCCGATTAGAACGGTCGAAACGGCAGGTTTACCAGTTAGGCCAATTAAACCGCTTCCTAGCCCAAGTCTGATTAACCGTTCCGGTTCGATTTTACGAACACTGATATCTACAAATAACTCATTTTTCATATTGAAGATATCATGAAAATTTACTTTCAGTATTCGTTGGATTTTTTAGGAAGGCGTTTTTTTACAATATAAGGTTGCAACATGTATGAGCTTTTCCTAAAGAAAAATATTCATAATCATATAAACCCTCATATATTATAAAGTTTTAACATATAATATTGAATTAGAAGCCGTTGTTTCACATCTTACATGCAGATACTTTTTTTTTTTTGTCAAACTAATCCCAATCGGGTACTTGAAGTACTAGATCCCATGTAAGACTTTCTCTTTCAAAACTCGATCTGGCACTCGAAGATTGGATTGCCTCTACAGTATTGTTTGTCAAACACTTCTAGTACTAGACCAAAATTTTCTATCTTTCAAGCTAGTCTGGCACTCCAAGTACCAAACTAGCTTCTAACCAAAAATATAGCAAGGTTGGTACTTCTAGTATCAAACTGTAATTTTTACCCACTAGCTTATCATTCTCGTTTGGTACTTCAAGCACCAGACCCAGTTTTGGAAGAAAATATCTTACATGTGGTCTGGTAGATCAAGCACCAGACCAAGGTTACTTTGGAGAAATTGTAAAAAAGACAAAAAAAGGAAATTATGCATTTTACCTGAAATAGATTCAAACAATTGAACAACCATCAAACTGAATAACATTTGTCATCTCATGGGCGCTAAAAAAAATCCCGGGGAAAAAAAGAGGTATGCGAGTAAAAAAGAAAAATCAGCAAAGATTTCTTTGATAATGCTAATTTTGGGGACATTGGGGTAAATTTATCTATAAACTAACACGTCATAAACTCAAACTAGATAAAAGTCATCACATAATATAGAAACATATAAAATCAATAAATCATCATACCATCAAAGTGTGTATCCAATCCTTGAAATACATCTAAGGATATACTCACTTTTAGATTACAAGCTGGAAAATCTTCAGTATTTTTTTTTTTTTTCAGTGGGAGATAGTAGTTTTCGAATGAGTAAGTAGGAATGGAAACTAGACCAATACTTGAGACTTAAGCTATTACCACGACCTCAACCCCATTCCCTCCCGATCTTTAGTGCTTCTTAGAATTGAAGAAGATGCTCTCACATTATCACCTGCCTATGAAGATGATTCAGCCCCCTTAGAATAAGCTCAAAAACATCATCATGAACGAAGGTCCATCGGGTACATTTCTTCTTGGGGAGAGGGAAGGGGATGGTCAGACTGCTTACCTAAAGAATTGGCAATGTATTATTCGACATGGGCATAACTTATGCAAATCTAATCAAATGTAAATTGTACAGATTTTGATGAAGGTAAAGCACATATACATATAAACATATAACTCACAAACATGCTCATGAATTTTATAGTTTAGGATCTAGGAATAAAGCTAAGTTTTAGGGTTTAGGGTCCGAGATCTAGAGCTTGTGACGATGCAGGTTAGGAACCAGAGACCATGGTCTAAGTCTATGTTTTAGGGTCATGGTCTAAGGTCTAGGGTCTAGGGTCAAGGTTTAGAGTTAGGGCTTATGATTTAGGGTTATGGTCAAAGTTCTAAGGCCTAGGGTTTATGATTTAGGGTCATGGGCTAGAGTTTAGGCCTGGCGGTTACTGTATAGGTCTAGGTTCGAGAGTTAGGACATAGGGTCTAGAGTCTAGGGTTTAACATTATAAAAGTTTGTGATTAGTGTCTATAAGTGGGCGAGTTCAGAGGGTATCCGAACCCATTTGCCACTTAAAAAGAAATAACTGAGTTCCGACATCTGGTGTACGAATTGTGGGTAGTTTTGGGGATAAAAGAAAATTAGGACCTTTGCGTAATATCTATAATAGGATCTTTATCTTAATATAGATCTACAAAAGGAATTTATCTATAAATTTCCCCAAAAGCCATATACAAAAAGCTAACAAAGGGCTGTAAAAAGTTTCATATACAGATTTCAACATTCTCTCTCAGTATGGAGATGAAGCTCTATGAATAGGCACATGTTCATATCATGTAACGTATATAATTATATTTATTGCCTTACATTATATAATGGGAAAAGTTTATATATAGTGGAGGCTCTAAACAATCAAATTGGAGCCTATTACAAAAATTTCACTAGAAGAGGCTTTTTTTATGTCCAAATATTCTCAAATTGATCATTTCGACATCAAGATGCATGAACATGAGAAAAAAATAGATTTCAAGTTTTGGAAATAATATATTTTGTGACGCATTTTTGGACCGTCAATTTTCAAGATTTACAATTTTTCATAGATCTATCAATCTACACTATTTTTTAAGCTTTAAACTTTATAAATAAAAGTGAAAATTATTTTAAGGCTATCAAAAAGATTTCTAATGTTGAAACCACATTTCTTGACACTATTTGAAGGTAGACTCTAATTTGATTGTTTAGAGCCTAGGATCTATACAAACCCCACCCATAATGGGAAAATTTCTTATTCATCAACCCTTTCTTAGACCCAGGTATAATGAGAGTCGTCACAAATATTGAAGAATTTTCATCCAAGGAAAATTCTGGCGTAAGAAATATTTGCTTAATGAATGAAAGGTATATCATATCGTTATTTTGCATATTAATCATAAGTCACTTAGACAAATCAAAAGAAATATTATAGAATTTCTACCAAAAAAGAGTAGTTGGTATGATAGGTGAAAATATTGTTCCAAAACTGTATTCCAAACAGCAAAGGAGAATTCATTTTCACATTTTGCCAAACAACAAATGAAAAACAAGTTAAAAAATATGATAACTACCAAATACTACTTTATTACATTAAATATTTTTAAAATCATATATAAGTAAATTATTTTGCATTTGTTACAGATATCCTTCTCGAAGATGAGGAACATTCCTTTCTAAGAGCCACATTTTTCAATATGAAGTTCAACAAATTACAGAGAAGTTACCTTTTTTTTTTTTTTTTTTCTTTTCTTTCCCTTTACGCATTCAGTTTTACCTTATTTTAATTTATGATTCCCTAACCATAATATACAAAAATGAACACACAATCAAAAGCTTTCTTGATAGATTGAAATACTAGAGCACTGAATGTGTCCTCACAATTTGCATGCCATCATGTAAAGTGAGCACAATAATACCTGAAAGTATTATAGTTGAACTAATCACCATGGACAACATTGCATAAACCAGTATTTAACTTTGCCATATTGAACTTTCCCTTTGTCTAAGATTCTGAGTTGTTATAAATCAATATAGGTCTAAGTAACATGACTGTTTATCAAACACCTATATATCATTTTGGGAGGTAAGACATTTGAATTTATACATATTGATTGCAGTTTATTTTTTAATACCAATGTCTTGGTATCTCATTTTGAGAAAAACAATTTGGATTTCTTACATGTTTTTAGAATTGGGAAAAGTTTATATACAACTGATGTTCTAAACAATCAAATTAGAGCCTACATCAAAAATTTCACTATAGGAGTTTGTTTTGATGCTCAAAGATCCTCAAATTGATCATCTCGACGTCAAAATGCATGGACATGAGAAGAAAACATATTTCAAGTTTTGAAAATAAGGTATTTTGTAACGCATTTTTGGATTGCCAAATTTTAAGATTTTCAAGTTTTTATAGATCTCTCGAACTGCACTATTTTTGAAACTTTAAACTTTATAAATAAAAATATATTTTAAAGTTATCACAAAAATTTCCCACATTTCTTGATACTATTTGAAGGTAGGCTCAGTACAAACCGAACCCGAATTGAATTTTTTAATTACACTACTTCTAAAAACACGTGCAGTTTGGGATTTTAGGGAAACAATGACCCATACCATTCCAGAAAGTGTGGTCACGACTGATTCTCATTCGGATCAAAACACTACCTGAGCTGAATACATTTCGCACGGATCCAATATTTGGAACACCGATGGGACATTGCTTCCCCGATCTCTGAATCTTTGGAGTTGTAGTCAATTGGTGAGAGAAAATGGCAATGGAGTGAGCCCCGTCATTCTCCATTCCGTTTAGAGAGAGAGGAAGAGATGGCATTCTGGGTAATGAGCAAACTGGTGCGCCCCCTCCTCGGAGCCACCTTACCTCGTCGTCATACGCCTTCCCCCCTCTCTCTCCCCTCTTTTCTTCCACCTCCTCTTCCTCTTCTTCTTCTCTCCACCTTTCATCCTCTTTTGGTTTTCGGCCCGTTTTCTCGATGATGGGCCTTCACAGCTTAACGGACACGCGTTTCCCGAAGAGAAGGCCCGGCCTCAAGGTCGCAGGAAGAGAGCCAGTCTCAAGCCTCTAGGTTTGTATGCCTTCAATCTCCATCCCTTACTAGGGTTTCTTTATCTCCCTTGATCCGTGATAGAGGAACTAGGGCTTTCCCTGCCTTGAATTTGTGGCGGACCTGTTTTTGCTCAGTAATGGTGTTTTTGTGCTTGAAAGAATGCTGAAATTAGGGTTGTGATCTTTCTCTTTTCTCTATCTCTTGAGAAAGTCTAGTGGACCTCGTTTTTTGCCAGTGTCGTTGATTGTGTGCCTGAAATTTTTTTACAATTTAGGGTTTTTATTCTCAGTTGCCTCTTTGCTGGGTGAACCTTGGCATTGTTGATTGTGTATATTTTGAAAGAATGCTAGAATCTCTCTCTCACACACACACACATACACACACAAGTTTTCCTGGTTGACCTATTTTTGCTCGATATGGTGTTTGTGTCTTGCGGGAAAGAATTGCTGGAATCTCCCTCTCTCTCTCATCTCTCTCTGTGTTTGATGTGTAGTGCTTGTTAATGGTGATTTTATGTAAATGGCAAGAGTGCAGGGCCATACACATGGATACAGTATGTACCTGGTGAGCCCATTCCTAGGAGCCGACCCAATGAAGGGAGTGTGCAGGCCGGAACCGAAGGAAGCGTGCCAAACAGAGGGTTGCCTTTAATTGGTGTGATTCTCTTCTTACTTTGAACGCGATTCTTCTTCTTTTCATTTGATGTCTACATATTGTTTTGAGGGGGGGGGGGGGGATTCATTGTTGCTATTCGAAAATTTATAAATTCCATTGGCTTTTATTGCGAGACACAAACTTGTGCTTTTCTCGTGCTTCGGTTATTTCTTTTTCATTTTATTTGAATGTAACTGTTGTTTTAATGATACATTAACTGGTAGCCTATGTTGATATCTGATATGTTGGTTTTAACCCCCCCATCCCCAAAAAAAAGAAAAACTAATATGTTGGTATTATGGATGTTTTCTTCTTTTCAATTTGGTCATGAGTTGGTTGCATTTTTGTTCCTATGAAGATGAATTGGTTCCTTTTCTCTATGTTGTAGGGCATGATACTTGGTTAGTTTTCTCTATTTTGTTCCATAACATGATTCAGTGTTATGGACAAAAAATAGAAAGTGCTTCAATCGAATTCTTGGTTAGTTTTGTCTATGTTGTAGGGCATGATTCTTGGTTCCTTTTCTCTATTTTGTTCCATAACATGATTCAGTGTTGTGGACAAAAAATAGAAAGTACTTCAATCGAATTCATTTATGGTGATCTCTAGTGTCAACTTCTTGGCTCAAGGCATCATTCAAGGCTAGCTTATAAATTCATTACTTTTAGGGTTTAGGGTTTATGAATTTGATATAGAAATGGGTGTTAGAAACAAGCGGGCCACTATATTTTTACCATATCATTTACATTTGGTTGAAGCAAGCAAGGGAGCTTTCTTGGTATTTGTTTACAAGTTTTCTTTTGTGTGAAATTAAGAGCAAGGTATCAAGCGGCAGCATTTTCCAAGTGCATACACACCGAAATGAGCCCAAAAAGTGGTATTTAAAGGAGCTACTGACATGCGTTCTAGCTACTAGCTCAAAAGTAATATAGCTGAGGTTTTTTTATTCTTTTATTTTATTATGCCTTTTTAGGATATTAAAATTAGGGCTATTTTATCTTTTATTTTTTTAAGTTTCTTATTTTTTTAAGTCTCTTAGGGTATTCATGTCATTTTTTTCATAGTAGAGAATTGAGCGGTAGAATTGAAAATTTAATCTTGAAAAGGTGAAGGACTAGGATTTGACAGTGATTAGGATCTCTTATTGAGCAATTTAGATTTTTTTCTCTATAAATATGTACATGTTGCCCAAGATTATAGATAGAGAAGAGGAATTCATTTTTGGGTCTTGTGAAAAGATCTTTTTTGGTATGGATTCCCTTGCCGGCCTAGATAGAGGGCCAAATCTCCCAAAGAGTAGGCATATTGTCTCACCTTTCTTTTTTGTTTTTTTCAATTTTTATTGCTTGTTTATTTTCTTCCTCCATGACTTCTTACATCAAGTTGTATCATAGCAGCATAGGATCCATCATGATACCTCTCAAACCTGCTATTGCGGTCAAGGATATATTGCCACAAATCATGGAGGTTGTGTATCATCAAACTAAAGAGTATTGAATCCAGCAATGAAAGATTTTCAAGTTTTGATGGGCAAAATTCGAAGAGAAATTGGTGAAAATAATCAATGATTGCAATGATTAGAAAGTACTGATTGGTGAGAAAAGGGTGTGCGCAATCTAGTAGATCCCCCATCAAATCTCAACCTAGGGATGAATCGAGCTCTACTACCGACTTTGGGTGTTGCTCCCATTCAAGATGAGCAAATATTGAGCGAAGAACCATGAATTATGGAGCGTCTTCGAGATCTTGCTATCAAGGTTGATCTCCCTGAGTTTCATAGTAAGCTCCACATTGAGTATTTTATTGACTGATTGCATTCGGGACAATATTTTATTGAATGTAATCAATCGTTGAAGGAGCTTGAAAGAGAAATCAAGATAATACTCAATATCCTGGATTTCTGCTATTAGTTACAAATTAACTGGGAATTCAACTTTGAAAATATGAAGTGCTAGAATTTAATAACGATTAGGGTTTCTTGCGGAGCTCATTAGGTTTTTAGGTTCATTTATTTATGTTTTTTATTTTTCTTTGAATGTGTTAAGTGCTGGACAAGAATATAGATAGCGAAGAAGAATTGATTTATTTTGGGTCATCGGAAAAATGTCTCTTTTGGGGTGGACCCCGTTGTAGCCTAGAGAGGGCCTAATCTCTCAATCTTTACGGTAGACTTCCTTGCAGACGCCCATAGAGCGTATTCTCTCTTCTCTTTTTTCTTGATTTGTTTATTATTATTCAACTTTGAAAATATGAAGTGCTAGAATTTAATAACGATTAGGGTTTCTTGTGGAGCTCATTAGGTTTTTAGGTTCATTTATTTATGTTTTTTATTTTTCTTTGAATATGTTAAGTGCTGGACAAGAATATAGATAGTGAAGAAGAATTGATTTATTTTGGGTCATCAGAAAATGTCTCTTTTGGGGTGGACCCCGTTGTAGCCTAGAGAGGGCCAAATCTCTCAATCTTTACGGTAGACTTCCTTGCAGACGCCCATAGAGAGTATTCTCTCTTCTCTTTTTTCTTGATTTGTTTATTATTATTCAACTTTGAAAATATGAAGTGCTAGAATTTAATAACGATTAGGGTTTCTTGTGGAGCTCATTAGGTTCTTTGGGTTCATTTATTTATGTTTTTTATTTTTCTTTGAATATGTTTAGTGTTGGACAAGAATATAGATAGTGAAGAAGAATTGACTTATTTTGGGTCATCGGAAAAAGGTCTTTTTTGGGGTGGACCAGCCTAGAAAGGGCGAAATCTCTCAATCTTTAGGGTGGACTCCCTTGCAGACGCCCATAGAGGGTATTCTCTCTTCTCTTTTTTCTTGATTTGTTTATTATTGTTATTATTATTAGTATCTTTTAATATGTTCTTATTTTTTTTATATTCTTTACATCACAAATATGCCCTACAAGCGTCACAACACATTTAAAAAGTGGCTTCCAGAGGAGGGCCCCCTAAATCTCCATCGGCCATCTACATTTATCTGATTTAAAATCGATTTATTCGCACCTAGAGTTATTGCAGTTGTCATTTTCAACTGTGATATGGTTGTACCCAACCATTGTTCTAGGCTACTCTAAGGCTTGTTTCTTATATTTCTCTAGCACCTTATAATAAAATCTTTCCAAATATGATTGTTTAGAGCCAAGTAGAACTATTCTCAATTCATACATCCTTTGATGCTCCCTTCATCCATTAAAATAGGTCCTTTCCATTATCTTTATATGTTTGATTTAAGAATCCGGTTATGTTCTTTGGCTTCTTCATAGTTATGTCCGCTTTCTCCAAAGAACTTGATGTAGCCTTTTATTTTATATCCTTGGATTCAGAGATATGTGGCTTCCAAACCATTATAAGGGTTTGATCTTTCTAGATGATGAAGTAGTGACGGAGCTCATGGTGTTAATGGTGTGTATATGAATGGTAGAATAGATGAAGAGAGCAGTGTAGAGCTTGGAATCTTAGAAAACTTCTTGGCATGATCTTTCTGCTTTTGGGTACATTGCTCGTTGGCAAATTAAACCTGAAAGAAGGTTTGTCATAGAGTATTGGCATTTAATTCATTGAGTTTCCGGAATAAAATTCATCTTATTTAATGGTTTTCCTTGTGTTTGTCCTATATTACTTCTGTAGGAAGTTGGTTGATGAATGTGCTTATATATATTTGGGAGGATGTGGGGCCTTTAATGAGCTGGAGCCTCTATCAGAGGGGCTTTCAAAGAAGTTAAACTTTGGCTTCTACTGTATAAGCTTTCCATTTGGTGTTTTATGCCCAAATGTGCTTTACATGTCGCTTATTTATTTATTGTGAAGTTTGGATAGTTCAAATATGCTATGCCATTACGCTTGCTGGATATAATAAACTTGCTACTCCTATTTACTCCTTTTTCTTGTTACCATTTTTCATATTAATTAACTTCTCCTCTCCCTTTCAACCTTGAATTTGGAGTAGTGAGTATTAATTTATGGGGTACCTATCCCTGATCATAAACATGTTGTAATCTGTAAACATCAACGGCATTGATTCAATGGCTTTCCCTTGTGTTCATTCTCGTTATGAAGTTTCTATAACGAAAAAAGGGTATCCTAGCATTCTACTTTTCCAAATGTTGCTCACCAACTGTATATAGATGTTACCACGATCTTTTATGACACAATTGCTGCTCAAGAGATAAGTGGTTTTGGAGTTGGTGATGGATGCGTGAGAATTTGTTTTCTTTTTTTTCGTTAGTGTGTCAGGGTATGAGAAAGGTTATTTTAGAGCTTTCATAATACAATTTTTGGGCGTGGTCAGTGATTACATCGGGCTGTTCATCTATCTGTGGATCATTACTTTAGATAGTTGACTATAAAGAGGATTTTGTTGTTGCTGATAATCATCTCTAGCATAGGGATTTTCACATTCCGAACATTTGCATGATGAGCTCCTTTTAATTTGAACAATAACCAAAATCATAGTTGACTGTGAATCCTAAGGTAATTTTGGTTAATACATTTGAACAATAATTTGCACTGGAACTTACCTAGTTTTCTAAGGGTTTGTTTGATAACCGGAAGCAAGTTCATGAACCGTAAATTGGAAGTTCTTGAAGAACGGTAAATTAGAAGTTACGTAAGAAGTTCTTGGTTTCTGTATGTGATAACCTCGTTGGGAAGTCAAGAAGCTCTTGGTTTCTGTGTTTCTTAACTGGGAAGTTAAGACTTCCCTAGGAAGTTAAGAAGTTCTTGGTTTCTATGTTTGATAACTGAGAAGTTAAGAAGTTCCTAGTTTTTATGTTTGGCAACCTTAACTTCCCGGTTTCTGTGTTTGATAACTTCCTGGGAAGTTAAAGTTAAAGAAGTATTGGGTATCTGTATTGGATTAGCTCTAAGTAATAGGCAAGATGTAAAAAGTTAAAATTGAGACCTAGATATTATTTATTTTTTATTAATTTGTAGAATATTATTTTTTGGGATACAATATCAATTGATTTTTTTTATTAATTTATTGAATATTATTTTTTGAGATACAATATCAATTAAAAGTAAAGTACGTTGGATTGAGAGAAAATTTGTAGAATATTGTTTTTTGGGATACAATATCAATTGAAAGTAAAGTACTTTGGATTAAGAGAGAAAGAAAGATAGTGTTATGAGATATTTTTATTGATGAGTGAGAGAAGCATCCTAAAGAGAGAAATATTTGTACATCAATTGAAGCAGATGTTGCATGATAAACTTCATTGCACCTCAAACTTGAAGCAGCCTGTTGACAATGTCAAACACAACCTCAATTCAATATTATGTACCAAATAACTAGTTTCCTAATCAAATTTTTCAAAATTAAAATCAATATATTTTCTTAATTATTGTGGGTATACAATTTGTTGAGTCTTTTTACAAATATGAAGTGGAATAGGTATTTAAATTTCATTAGTAAATTGTCAATGACTTTCTTATTAAACTGATTACAAACTCTCTCGCTATTCTTCACACATACACATGCACACTCATATCTATTGACGGCCATGGCAATTGTAGATTTGGTTTCCTGTATTCTATTGGATTGTGCTATTATAGCTTCAGCACAACATACAAACACGCATTCGCAAATGAATCCATATGCAGACAATAAGAAACCAGCCCATTCAATAATAACTTGTAATAGCGTGAACACTACTTAGACATACATTCACCATTGATGCATCCATATACCAACTTCAAAAATATATCTCATTCAACAATAAAACAACATTGTTATTTGTCCCACAATGTTCCCAATATTAAAAAAAGAAAAAGAAAAGATTTAGACAACAATTAGAACTTTAATGAAAGGAAAGACTAGATGCTTAGGAAGACACTCTTGAGATGCCGAGATCCCTTGAGGAAGACATTGACACTTATTTCTTCCCACTTTCACATGGCTTCAATCCAAAGCATCTGTGTTAAATATCTTCTCTAATTCGTTTAAGTATATAAGTAAAGACTTGTCTCTGTACTTTGTCACATAAGTAAACTCTTGTAAGAAGAATGCGCCTATGTATAGAATTTGTGTGAACATTGCACCTAAACTTGCAAAACAAATTGCAGTTGAGTACCTTATCAATATACCCAAAAAGCTTATGAGGTGTATTACTCACCATCAATCCATGCATAATACAGGCAAACGGGCATTATTCATAGAAGACCAACTAAATGGCCCTTTGAACCCTTCAAAATAGATAGTCATATGAACACATGCACACCTCTACCCCAGAACAGTCCTGAGCTGCGTTTGGATGCATTTGCTACAATAACAGTCTATGGTAGCAAAATGCATGCTCAAACCAAATTGAGCCTTTCATTTTGCTTTGTTCCATTTTGTTTTAAATGCTGAAGCATGTAATTGACAGCATCACTTTGAATGCCTTCTTGAACTACAAGACATTCAAAATGCTGAACGTTTGTGCATTTTTATAAAAGACATAATCTAAAGAAGAAAATTTCACTAACTAAATGAGATCACCCACACACTCGCCCAAGATGGAAGAAAAAAAAGGTGTACGATGCAAAACACCTGAAGAATCTAAATCATGAAAATAACATTTCCTCAAAATTTCTAGGTGTAAAATCAAATAAACTAGGGAACCTTGACATACCCGTTTATCAACCAATTGCTTTGCAAGCTTCCAATTTGTTGTGGTCTCTTCATCAGATCGTGACAAAAACATAATGACCTTGCATGGTACCAAAATCAAATTTTAGTCCCACTACTTCCATTTACAGACTACAAAGATCTGTGAAAAAGGCTAGTCGGTAGCAAACCTTCCCCAAGCCACTTTTTTTAAGTTGTTCTTTCCTGTCAAACTGCTCCACATCAATCAGCAACTATATCGTACATGCAACACAAGCATGTATCAATCAGATCAGATGCATATAGAACTAGAACTGAAGACCTCTATTTCAAACAAATACAACTAAACCTCACATCAAAGCAATCCAATGAATGAAGTTTAAGCATGATGAGGTGCAACAAGTGCATACATCAGTTAAGATATTCAGTAAAGCAGTTCGGAACATTGATATTGGGCAAACATCCATCTGGCAGGGGCTGTAGCCAATTTTTTAGTATAGATAGCACACTGCGATCTAAAAACTCTTGTTGGAGCCGCCGTCTATAGAAACAGGCCAAATTTTGAGAAAGAACTCAAACTAGATTTAGGATATCCATAATAAAAATAATGAATAATGTAAATGCATTTTTTTTTTTGGAAGGAAAAACTCAAGTAATTTTAGTGTAGGGTATTAATCAGATTAAAGTTACAATGAAGCAATGAAAGATGTCTGGCAATTTGACATTTGTCCTTTTGGAATGCTTATTGGGATGGAAGGGGAGGTCTCTAAGCCAACATGTTTGGAGCATTCCCGAAACCACCCGAAATATCACATCTTGTTGACTCAGTATCAACAAATAATGCATCAAGGGGAATCCAATTCCCCAATAAGAGTTCCGAAACTTGTGTTTTATGTCCATAAAAGATGAGGAGATTTGGATTATTGCAATGCCTTTTCACATGGTGGATCCAATAGTTTTTCTTTGCCAATTCTGGGTGATTCAGATAACATTAGGGGCCTGGGGCGGTAGGCAGTAGCCATCTTTATTTCTTACCGTTGGTCGTGGTCAGTAGATGATGTGCATAAATTTTTAATGTAATTATGCACCAGAAAGATATGCATTTCAAATAACTAAAACCTATACTCCTATCATAAATTCAGCCATGAAACCATGATTCAAGTGCATAAACACCAAAGGTACTCAATTCCATCCTTAATTTACACAGATATCCAAGAGTTTCAATGTGACCATATTTCACTCGAAACGATAAGTCAAATTCCAACATTATTCAAAACCCCAATTCTTCGTTTATCTAAAATATCCAACGATTAACAAAATCAATCAATCTAACTTTGTAGTATTGACAATAATTTATCGCCAAACACTAACCCCAAAAAGTGTAAAAATAAACCCAACTCCAAATTCTTTACCTTTTGAACTTTTGCCAAGCCTTCTCTCTCAAGACTTTGCTCTAATTTTCTTCTTCCTTTGGTTTCCTCTTCTTGCTCGATCCTTCTTTCCCTTCAACTTTCCAGCTGAAAAATCCTCATTTTCCTGAACTTCATCAGCCAAAAAAGCTTTCCTTGTTACTCTTCTTTTTGAGCCTCTTTCTAGGTTTAGCTTTAGGCTCATCGTCTTCACCAGAATTCATGACTGGCGTGGGTGATCGCTCCGTTCCCAATCTTCTTCTTCTGGTTCTGAACCCGTGTCCGGATCCATCAATGGCTCTCCATCCTCATCGCGGTGACTAAATTAAAAAAGAATAATTATTATGGAAATTCACACTGAAAAAAATGGCAAAAAAGAATTGGAAAAATCAGTGAAATGAATTGAGCTCACCGATCATCATATGCCATGACTAAGAACTTGAATTGTGGAAGAAAGATGGATCACTGGCTTCGCAGGGAAGAGGGTTTTTAGAACGAAAATCTTTATCCGGTGGAAAATCTATGAACGAACAGAGGGATGCTCAGTGGGGTGGGTGCTCAACGGGGAAAAAGAGAAAAGTGGCTAGGGTTATCGAAGGAGAGGAAGTTACAAACTTCCAATTTTGAAGGTCGGAACTTTTTTTACAAAGGGACTGAAAAAGATGAACAGTAAATTGGAGTTCTGATTTGAAGTTATCATTTTTTTTGTCAAACACGAAAGTTGTAAGAAATTCTCGACTTCCACAAAAACACTTCCCGTTATCAAACACGCTCTAAATGTTGGATGTAGTTCACACTTCAAATGTACTGCACATTGAAATTTGTTTACTCTCATCCTAATGTTTAAATGCCCAAGTTGTTTGATTCTGGGTAAGGCAAAGTTAAAAGTGTGCATTATGGTTGGCAGTCTGAAGCCAAGAAACGCAAAGCCGGATTTGATTCCCATTCGCTAATAAAGTGGTGAAACGATAGTCGGCTCATCTTGAAGCATCTGTTTTGGATATCGAAAGTTCCATTTCTCTCGGTGAGTTTGTGTAGTTAAATATTTTGGATTGGCAAATCTAGTTAGTTAGTGTTCATGGGTGGAATTTAAGTTATGCCTATACATACAATTATTTATTGCGAGATTTTTTTTACAGTTTTGTTTTTGAAATTAAACCCAAAGGTTTCTTCTCATATTAACTATATTAGTCTAGTGCACATGCTTTAAATGTGATTTGCTTAAGATAAATCAAAAAGTTTAATTAAGAATGAGAATAGATGGTCTTAGAAAAAGCTCAAAATAGTAAAACAACTAATGTAAAATTAAAATATCATACTAATATGATCTTTCATATGAAATTCATGATATAAGACTATGTATACAACCCCAGACTATGCGTACGCTAGTTAATGTATGTTGAGAAGACTTAACGTCCATGAAGTATTCATCCAAACTTTGGGGATCTGTTGACAGTGTAAAGCTAATTTACTTGCTACGATTTTTATTCAAATGTATATCTATTTTATGTATGAAATGGGAGAAGCGCCTTGCCAATTATGTTCACTTCTTTCTTTTTTTTTTTTCCAATTTTATTGTTTTAAATTTTGAAAGGTGAGATTTAAATGTTCGATAACTCAAAATTTAATTTATTTTCTTTTAAATATGTGATTTTTGGGATTTCATAGAAAAAGTTTATATCTAGGCTATAAACAATCAAATTAGAACCTACCTAAAAAATTTTACTAGAAGAGGTTTTGATGCCCAAGTATCATCAAATTAATCATCTCGACATCAAGATGCATGTACATGAGAAAAAAAATGGATTTCAAGTTTTGAAAATAATGCATCTTGTAATGCATTTTTAGGCCGTCAATTTTCAAGTTTTCATAGATCTGTTCGATCAACGAAGCTTTAAATTTTATAATTAAAAATAAATACATTTTTTAAGGCTATCGCAAAGATTTCAAGTATTGAAACCACATTTCCCAACACTATTTGAAAGTGTGCTTTACTTGATTATTTAGAACCTCGGCTCTATACAAACCGCACCCAAAAAATATTTCAATGGTAAATCTTTTACTCTAGGGAGTAAATATACTATACAATCCCCTAGGAGTATATCAATGGGCAAATGACTAGTTTTACTACTTCAATTTATTTCATTTGATTGGATCCTTGAAAGCCCTTTCTCAAGGCTCAACAACTTCTGCAAAGAGAGAATGAGGTTATTGGATCCTTGAAAGCCCATTCTCAAGACTCAACCATTTCCGCAGAGAGAGAATGAGGGGCGAATCACACGCCTGTGGAAATTGGGAAAGGATAAAAATGAAGCAAAGAGAGAAATGAGGCGCGAGGACTGAGAATTGCCAAAAGATATTCTACTTATGCATGTGTAGAATGTACATCTACTCTCTCGGCTAAAACTTCACATTAAATTATTTTTGGGATCTTAAATTTTGGGGATATAACCTCATCAACCGAAGGATTACAATAAATTTTTTTTCAATTGTGCCCTCTATACACATGACAAAAATAATGTCTTGAGATTGAATGGAGACCATCAAAATTTTAGATGGTAAGATCCCAAGTGTTCAAAAACTTAAATTTTATATTTTTTAATATTTAAGTAGTTCTTAAAATTTTAAATTAAAGAAAAATGGTTTGATAGAGCTGCATTCTAATTAAAATAAGTAAAGCCTCAAAGATTTACTCGATCTACACTATATAAACTAAATATATTTTTATCTTTAACTATAAAATTTAAAGCTTCAGAAATAGTGTAGGTCGAGCAAATCTATGAAAACTTGAAAAAAAAGTGTAGGTTGAGCAGATTTATGAAAACTTGAAATTCTTGAAAATTGATTGTCCAAAAATATATTAAAAGTTCATTCCAAAAGAAAAATCTTCCCAATGCCTATAGGCGAAAATAAACAGTGATTTTTCCTATGCTCATTACAGTCCAAAGTTCATTGCATGGTCATGATTATCCGATAATATTTTATTTTTCATTTTTTTTATAAATTAGAATGATCTGAAATTTGGAGCTTGTGTGCATCTTAGTGAGGAGCACCTAATAAAAATATGAAAAAAATATTTCGTAAAAATATAAATTGATCAAAATAACCCCATAAAATTTCAGGGGTATTTTGATCAATTTATATTTTACGAATTATTTTTTATTAGATTCTCGTATTCTTGATAAACACATGCTCCAAATTTCAGATCATTCTGATTTGTAAAAAAAAAAAATGAAAATTGAAACACTATTGGACAATTAAAGCCATGCAAGAAACTTTAAACGGTGATGAACATAGACGAAACCAATGTACATTTCCACCTATAGATGTTGCATAGTATTTTTCATTTTCAAAACTAAAAATCCATTTTATTTTTTGTTATCTCCATCCATCTTATGTCGAGACCAGATATTTGGGTATCAAAAGAACTTCAAGTAAAATCTCTTTGATGGGCTCTAATTTGATTGTTTAGAACCTGGAACTTTTTTCAAATGTGAAAGGCTTTTCACACCGTGTGAAATGGTAAATGAAAATTCGTTTAGCTCCGTCTTCCCGCCATATGGAGCGCCACGTTGGTCCTTTGTCTGTCTACAGACGTTCGTTTTTCTCAGTCCTCTGTCCAACTCTAACGTGTCACCATGAAAATTGGAACGCCTGAAAACGTGTGCCCTTCAACGATCCTTCTTAAAGTCCAACTCCTATCCATTGCTCTCCCTGTCCCCTTCGTAGCCACGGAAGTATGAGTCCCTTTGATATAGGCATTTCTCTCTCTTCGTTATCTTGTAACTGTATTTCTAGGGCTTCGTGTTGAATAGCTCTTGAAATCCGAGACCGGATGGCTTCATGGTTGAGGATCATCAAAGAGGTCAGGTCACTGAGAGTCTGATTTGCTAGGGCTTTCCCTGCACTGGTTATGGGTCTTGCTTGTGTTTTTTGGTTGGGAATTCTGCGTTTCATCTTACTTGAAGTGTATTTTGCGGTTTGCTGTTAAGAAGCCCTAGAAGATGGAGTTCTCATGCACTTGAATTCTTGAGCTGCATCTCCCTGTGACTAACTTTTCAGGCTTTATTCTTGAAAAGATCCTCTAAAAATTAGTATTTCCAAGAATATGATGGATTTGTCATCCCTGGATTTTTTATTCTTTTGTAATAGATGCTGATTTTATTGGAATTTTATGCCCGTTTTATGTTGATGGGATATTCATTGGATAGGTTGTTAAAGTTTGTTGTGCGTCTATTGAGACAGGGTAAAACTGTTAATTGCTTTTCTTTTTGGTAATTCTCTAGTCACCCCCTTCAAACTAACTTTACGGTAAACCCTAGAAGTCAGAAAATCTAGAATCTTGACAATTTACTGTTCTTAATGTTTGGTTTTGCTTAGTGGAAGTTGTGATGAGGCTTCATGGTTTTTTTGGTTTTGATTTTCGGGGTTTCTTGGGTTCACAAATTATGGTTTTTTCTCGTAGTAGCTGCTATTATGTGTGGTTTTATGAAAAAATAGAAGAAGAGAGGGAAATAAATTGTTTAAAATTAAATAATAGGATGCTAAAGGAAAATTGTGGAAACAAACAATGAACAGAAACACAACTGGAAAGTAAGATGAAAGAAAAATAAAAAGCCTGCAAAATAAATGGGGTGAAAACACTATGTAAATTATTAAAAAGGCAAAAAATGGAATAACTGGTGCAGGAATTGAACTGAAGAAGCATCCAAAAAGGCAAAGAAAAGTATAAAACCAAGAAGATGGACCAAGGAGGGAGATGTGGTTTACTAAATGAAAAAAAAAAGACCATAGTAAAAAATAGTTATGCTGGAGGAAAACTCTGTGCCATTTTATAAATCTGAAAATTTGAAAACATAGGAGAGGTTAGGAACATTTAGTTTTGAGATTTTAAAGGAGAGAAAGGTTCTACCAAAGGTGATATGACCAAGATGGTAATACATAAGAAGATTATTTGTGTATCAGAAGGATCATATATTTTCGTTTTTTGATTTGTAGAGGGTCCTATCATGTGAGGCGTAAGTAGAAAGGTGAGAATATTGAGAGAAGTATCTCGGAAATGGCGGTTGTCTGTTGTTGAATAGGATGTATATACACTTCATCAAGCTGACTAACAGTGGCATTGAAAAGGTGAGAATATTGAGAGAAGTATCTCGGAAATGGCGGTTGTCTGTTGTTGAATAGGATGTATATACACTTCATCAAGCTGACTAACAGTGGCATTGAAAAACATGGCAGTGGGCCCAAAGAAAATGGGGGACTCTGATCCAATCAATTTTGAGATTTTCGCCTGCCTATGTGATGATTTGGTCCGTCGATCATCTCTGTCGAAGCTTCGCTTAGGTTACATAATTTCTGACCTGAACGGTCAATACGTTCGGAAAATCACATGTCAGTTACTAACTTGTTATTTGTAATTAATTTTTATACTGATCTTGGCTGGCCTTATATTTTGGGTGCTGCATACAGATCGTTCTTTATATTTGATGGCTTAATAGACTTTCTTCGAGATGCTTATGATTCTGGTCTATACGCCCATACTCACAGCTAGTGCTTGACACACTTGGGGCTCCAGTGGTGATCTGCCAGCATAAGGAACATATGTGACAGTTGCATTCTGAGTGAAAAGTTACATTGTCTTGACTCCCTCACACTTTGTGCTAATTATGCTTGAACACACTTGCTAGAATATGTACCGAGTTGATAATCTCGTTGGTAAAAATACTAGGTTTGCAACTCTTGATGACAAATTACCTGGTCCCTGTCTTGTATATTGTTGGACTGTAGAAGTTAAAGTATTTTTACACTAGGTTTTCTGATACAAGAAATAATACATGTTTTATTTGAACGGGCGCAATTAATGCTGGTGTGCTTACAGATAGTTTGCTGATAGAGGTAGAGGTAGCGTAAATCAGTCTCTGAGATGCGGCCATAACATGTTTATGTATATAACTATTGTATTGATAAAGTAGTGGTCCTAACATCTCTTAGGCTTTTGTATCTTGCTTTTTGGCCTTGTACTCTATTTTATATATTGACGCAATGTTTCTTATATCACCAACTTTTTTTTTTTTTGGAATGAAATTGAATTATTCTGTGCAGGTGATGCCGTGTTTTATTTTACAAGGCTGATGGATATGCTTCTCGTTCATCAATCTTAGTTTGTCCCGATGAAGACTGGCATATTAACTTCATAGGTTTTCATATAACAAGTATTCACTTTCATAAAGGGGATAACATATCCATAATATGGTTACCTCTGTATTGATCACTGGTCATCTTCTTATCTGTTATGCACCTCAAACTGGAGGGGAGAGAGCGGAAGGTGATATCAGCAACCGGTGTTCGGCATGATGGGCCTCCTATTTGAACTTCTAGCAAATGTAGTCATATTGATTACAAAGCCATTCTCTATTATCAAACTTTCATGGCAGTTAGGCGCTGAAATAGTTGGCTTTTTAACTATAACATGGATGCGAGTTGTGAAGCTTCTTCTCAACTTATACATAGCCATGTGCTGGAGGATTATTATTTGGACAGTTTCAATCATTTCTTTGCCTTTTCGGATTCTTACAGCAATACAGAGGGAAAGGCTGGTCAGTATACTGTTGCTGTTGCCTGCAATACATGTCAATAATTGCTGTACTTAATTTAGTTCACTGTATGCTAATAAACAATTTTATTTTAAAACAAATTTATGGGCCACACCATTTTTGGCATCAAATGCTTATTTACTTTGTCATCATTAATACATATTTTTCAGTGATGCCTTGTGTTCAATACTTCTAACTTTACATGTGCGGCTACATTAGTCCTATCCAACATAAATAGCTATTGGGTTCAGATTCCTGATTGAACATGTTAATACGTGGCTGTTCATGTTGATGAGGAGCTTTGGTATTATACCTGCATTGCGGGATCTTAGAGAAGAGAACCTCCATCTCAATGAAATAAACTTGAAAACCCTTTGGAAACCCAAGCCTCATCTTATCTCAAAAAATAGGTGCCTTGGCATTGGTCGGAGGCATGTAGTTTCACTCTTGACATCTCCCTTTTCTAGTGCCTTCGTCCAATTCCTACACTGCTGGTTGGTTGGATTTATAGGACCGTATAATTGTTAGGACCTATACAGTGCAAAGCTTCAAGATATGAAGATTGCGGACACCATTGAACACATTTGGAAGATCCTGTCACATGACTGCAAACATGATCAACAACTGAAAGGTCCTTTGCACTGTGCAAACCTTTGCTATATACAGTCTCCTTTTCTCTCTCTATAACATTAACATCATTAGTGCTTCTACCATTGTTATTACATGAGCTTGTGATTGTGGATGATTCAGAAAGGAGGTGGCTTTATGCTGGAGGGTTATGTTCTCATTTCCTATCGAGAATCATTTTGAAGGGTTCATAAGCGAGAAGACGTTCCCTGAAATTTAGCCATTGTGAATACAGAAGTGGTTTGGATGATTCATCTCAGTTATTTTATATCTTTGAAGTGTGTTGAGTCATAAACTTTCTGGAATTTGAATCTGTTCATTGCGCTCATCTAGGCTTGGTTTCAGTTTAATATTTTGGGGATTGAATCTTGAGCAAGTGACAGATTGAACCTTGAGCAACTGATTGTTCTGTTGGCAAAGATTTTGATTTTTCAATACTTTTATAAGATTTAGATCAAAGAATTCGCTTTGAGCTGGAGTCAAGGTTTTAATAATGCATGTTGAAGTTCTTCTTGAATTCAAGCACCCGTTAGATTCTAAAGTTGTTTATTAAATAATCCTAAATTCTCCCTCTAACTCGTCCTTCATTGCTTCCTAAGAATCATGTGTAAGTCTAGATTACTGATCATCGCCCCCCCCCCCCCGCCCCCCGTCCTTCAAGAATAAGCTGCAGATCTCGTCCACTGCCACCTAAACATCCTCAAGAAATTTAAGCACAAGCACATTTCTCGTCCTTTTTCTCCCATCCCTTATGTATATGTCTCATTTCATGTACTCTTGTGTGGAACTTGATGTTAACTAATCCCTGTTAGCACCAAAATGTAGATAGTAAATTAGCACAAGCACATCTCCCTACACCATGCATCTCCCCAGTCATCATTCCTGTTCTCCATCCAACCCCCATACGTGGTACTCCCTTAAAATGTTATTTTTCCCTCCTTACCATTTGTTTTCCACAGCCTTGAAATCATATGTGGCCTCATATGCAGCACCCACTCATCAATTGTTGAACTCAAAAGATGTATACTACCCTGAATGATAATACCCGTCTCTTCAGCAAACCTCTGACGCATGTATCCGACAAGGTTTGTAGAGGCCCCGCATTCCTCTAATGCATGAACCAAATTTTCCCCGACTTCAGAGGCATCGGTAAGCTTATATGCAACCTAAATTTCTTTGCAGAACCAGTTGTATCATCTGAGAATAAAACCTAAGATTATTTGCCTGGGAAGTGAAGCATCACAGAGAATATATTTTTCCTGATCAGTGGCTGCACTGTACTTGCACTGAAGTCTAGTAATCTGTTTATTGCCGATATTGAAATTCATCATTATCATGGGTATCTCTATTGAAATGTTCTTTGGAAGCCACTTCAACAATTTATAATAGACAATTCCTTGTTTTCTCTTCCTTGCATAAATTTTAAAAATGAATCATTTCCTGTTTCATGTTTCCTTTCTAAATTTGATTTGTATACAAACAAGCCAAAGAAATTCAATTCTTGTTAATATCATCATTATCCTGATATGCTAGTCTGGGTGTTCATAATGACAAATATCTCCTCCTTATAGAAACTACTGGTTTCTTTTTTGATAGTTCAAAAGTAGAAAACTGAGAGCGTTTAGGCGTTTAATGGATTCCCAAAAGAAACTCCCCCCATTCTTCAGATATCTTGCAGATCTTTTTCATTTGATTACAGTTGCACTGTTACACTGTTTTCATGTTGATGTGATTGAACACTTTGTTGTTGGCTTACTTTCCTGGAACTAAAACATCCATTGTTGTGAATTATTTAATTCATTGATATTTTCCTAGCAAGTAATGTTGTGAAATAAAACCCTATAAACTACGTGTAAAAAGGTGAAATAGTGAGAAATGCATTTTTAAAATGTTCTATGTTCTATTATTTACTAAGCCAGCAATTTCATTGTTCCCTTTGCTGATTGGCAAGATTGTGTATGGATTGCATGCAGCTAGAAACTCACCTTCTTGAAATGCAAGCCCAGCTGGAGATGTCTGTATGGCAGAAGAAAGAACTTGAAGAGAGGTTAACGGTGGCTGTTAAACAACATAAAATTGTAGAGTCCATATTAGCGGAGGTTGAGGAGGAGCATGATAAAGCTATTACAAAGATTGAGGTTTTGGAAAATGAGGTAATGAGATTTTAATAAATGGTTTCCTCAATTTTTATGTGTCCTTAAAAGGATCAATCTGGTACTACTTGTAGGAAAAGGCCAAGTGTCCAAATGTATTTTTTGTGGTGGTTCTAATTGTTTCTCTTTATTATCTAAGATTTGTTCTACACTTTTCCTGGCATCCTCCTTTGGATTAAGGTCCATGGGGCTTGCAGATGCCAATTAGGTGCTTAGGTAGGCTCATGAGCTTTAGGTTGGTAGTGATATGCAAAAGAATAACAAATAACGTTAAATTAAAATAATTATCTTCAGGAACTGTATATTGGTTAAAAAAAAATGTCTTCATCAAATATATAGTGGTAATATGGCATGATTAATTCCAACTTCTATGGTAATTTTTTATGAGAAACATATCATCGAATTACCCATGAGAGATGAACAAATTAACACTTTATCCTATATTTTGATTTAATTTCAAAATACCCATAAAATGTCACATGGTCTTGAGAATAGTTGCAAATAGGCAAAATATTAAATAATCAATCTCTGATGGGTATTTTGATGAATTCCAATTTTATTAACAACAAATCTATTCAATTATCTAGTTTCTAGTTATATATCTGTATCAAAAGTGCTCCCATAAGGAAGAAAACGTTTTCTTGGACAATTGAATAAATGATGAAATACGTAATGAACTAATGCAAATCAATGGGTCATTTTAATTAAAGGTAAGTATTTTAATAAAAGACAAACTTCAACATCATCATCATCATCCGAGCCTTATCCCAACTATATATATATTCTAAAAAATTTTGAGAAATAAAGATCAAGTACTAAACGACGATCAAGTTCTCAACAAAAAAAAATCTCATGGGGCCTATTTATCATTTTAATAAATTTCAAATGTTTCAGGAACTTAGGCATCGTTTTGGGTTGTTATTAGATTTTGGGTGTAATGAAGTAGTGGCAGCAGCAGCATTTCACACCATGCAATATTCAAATATATAGGGGAGAGGATTTTAAACACTTGTTTAATTTATCACTTTTTTTCTAATAACCCCATCATGGAATGGGATATATTCAAGCTTCTTTAATTCGTGCACTAAAATGTTATCAACAATAAGAATGACTTGTTTTTGTTTATCAAAAAAAAAAAACAAGAATGACTTGTTTGTTCTGTTAGCATTACCCAATGCGTATGCGACTGCACGCTCCTGTGCATGATAGTTACAGATGTCATGTACTAATAAACAAATCAACAAATTGAACAGATCAAACCTGTAAAACAAGTAAGTTGATAGAGAAGTTTGTGACAATTAGCAGACTATCTAGGTAGCATTTAGAGCCTCTAGCAGGTTTGTTCATCTTTCAGTAACCAGGGGAAAAAATACCAACTTTCTGTGTCATATTAGATTGAAAAGAATTGAGTATAAGAAGTCTTTAGGTGGGATATAAACATGTCCAAAGCCTTTCCTCACAAATGGGGAAAGTCTCTGCAAGGTGGAGATATAAACCCGTGTTCTTGTCTTGCCATGGGTGCACAAGGCCTGCTATGAGCCTTGGCTCATGAAGACAAGTGGGGTCGTTGGTGCTCTGCCGGCCACTTATGACTTCAAATATTTCAATCATGTCAAATAATGCCTCCATATGCTTTATGAAGGATATTAGTGGGGAAATTTCTTTCTGTAGCATCAGGCGTTGAAAGCAAAATAATTGCATTACTTTTCTATTGGTAACATGCTTTAAAATCGTGTATAAAATTGTGACAACTGAAGGGCGAACCATTTGCCTGTTGCCTTCGATGTTTTTGTGAAAGCAAAGGAGACGGCCAAATAGTATGGCTATTTTGGGTTGTTTGGATTGTTGGCCATCCCACCCTTCTATTTTGAGACTCCTTTGGTTTGCCCTAGGGCTATTTTACAATGACACTTGTATGAGTGTCAGCATCTGAGGAAGAACATTATGAAATTGGCTTTTCAGAGACTATATACCCATTCGTCAATTGGAGGAAATTAGTGGGTGTAATGAGATTCTAGTGAAAAGGTCAAATGTGAGTGTTGTGTCTATACTATATTGATACACTCCCAGAACACTGGACATGCATGTCCAAGTTACATATCCTCAGGGAATGCTTCCTCAGTATTGTCTGTTTATCCTTGTTTTCTTATGTCTTTCACATGTCCGTCCCTGCGCTTGCATGTTCTCAATAGAAAAAGTAAAAACAAGGGGAATGAGAGCCATTAGCATCCACCACTAGGTTCTGCTTTCCTAGGATTTGCTGGCCTGCCCAAACTATGGCATACCCGAGATGCTGAAATATGGTAACGAAAGATAAATTCCTTATGACTTTGGTAAAAGCTGGCAAACAAAGCTTGAGCTTACAATTAAATAAATAAGAACACTAAGACTAGCGAACTTTCTTACTTGTGTACACGATATTCACTTTTTCGAATTTCTAGTATCCCAAGACCCATAACTCATCAGCATCATCATTATCATCATTAGAGCTTTTTCCCAACTATTTGGGATCGGCTACAGGAATCCAGGTACACTATTCTGCTCTATCAAGGGCCTAAATTCAGTGAGGCCATAGTCGCTGTATCTTTCTCACTACTTCCAATAATGTCCTTTTGGGCCTATCCATTGTCTTTTTTTAGCCTTCCATATGAATCAACTCGCTCCTCCTAACAAGCGCTCTATTGGGTCTATACTGCATATGGCCATCCCACTTAAGTCTATTTTCTCTCATCTTATCACCTATTTGAGCCACGTTTATGTTCCCTAAGTGTATTCATTTCTAAATTATCCCTTCTTGTCATCCCAAGACCCATTACTCTGTAGCCTAAATTTGTCACCTCACAATTTAGAGGGTGAAAGGCACTATCCTCTCCAAACCTTTTGCACATAAGTTTGTGTGGCCTCCCCAGCTGCACCATGTCTCTTACTGGCATATAGAGAAAAGCCATGCTGTCAACAATAAATACTTGAAAAGTGACCTTAATAATCTTCCAGAAAAAGATAATTTCCCTTCTAAGTTTCATTTCCTCTTTTTGTTGGATATCCCAGAATCTGGTGGGGTTTAGTGTTTGAGCTACACAAGTAGTGTCTTGTTGGTTGGAAAATAGGTGTTTTTTCAATAGCTAGTTGTATTGTCGATTAGCAAGGAGTAGAGTGGCTATGATAGGTTTCCTTGAGGTTGTTTCTTTCCTTTTGCAAGTGGAGCCCTTGTCCTTCACTTCAAGTAAAGCCAGTTTAAAAGCAGAAGCACTCGAATAGGTCTGCGACCCTCTTGCTCTTGAAATTGGAACCTTTATCTGAATATTAAAAAATGTCGCATGGCACGCAACGTAAATGCATCCAAGCGAGCGATGAACTGAGACTAAATGCTTATTTCAAAGACGCTATGAAGAGATGGAGGAAGGCACCCTGCAACGAGATTGAAGGAGACGGCAAACCAAAGGCAGGAGTCTCCTATTCCCATACTGACCGCTTGATTAGCCTAAGCGATGAAAAAGTTTCAAAAAGGGAAAAGAAGAATCTGGCCAGATCCTTCATCACTTCATGATTCCCTAGTTAAAATTGTGCTCTGAAGTCATTCATTGCATCTTAGAATGCATGTTATTGTGACATTTATCAGTATTTTACTACAGATTTATACTTTAATTTTCAAAAATAAAGTTGCATTTAGACACTGCTAGTACTTGGATGCTTAAAAGAATTAAATATAATACAACATTGCATTCACTAGGGAAACAAAATTAATATAAAAATAGTAGTAATATAGTCCATGGAATAATTTATTGTGGTTGCTTTTGTAATTTTTATACAAGAATGAGTCACAAAAATGATACTAAATTATAACAAAATGCACATATGCGTATTGTATAATTTATTTTAGGACTTTGTCTCTCCTACAAGTTCTATTTTCCACTTTGTTATTTTTTAGAACATTTTGCCACGGTACAACTTTCCAATTGTATTATTTTTAAGTGTAGAACAGTTAGCATCTACAATCTTTCTCACCAGAACATATGTTACATCATTGCATCTATGATCTTTGTCCTATACTTCGTTGTTGGGGATTTCTACCCTCCACTAAGTGCCCACTTATACCTAACAGTTACAGGATCTTAGAGAAGAGAATATCCGCCTAAAAGAAATTCATTTCAAACACCTTTGGAAACCCAGGCCTGGAGACCCAACTCTAAAATACGAGCACCCACGAGAAGAGTATGGGACAGCAGTCTCATGGGATCCAGGCCTTGACGGGAGCAATTTGGTGCTAAAAGACCTCATGCAAGGCACCGCTTCTCATCAAGGGCAGTGTAGGACAAGCCTGCCTCCATTCGGGCAGAGGCCAATCTTGCAATTTCATAGACCCGACGAAGTTGTGGCTGGAAGGAGGGGTTTGGCCCTTAAGCAAAGCCTCTTTAGTGCCTTCTTGTCTTTGTTGGTTGGGACTATAGTTTGGGAGGCCGAGGACCCATGTGGGCCCCTTGTAGCTGCATTATTTTCAGTTGTGGGCATGTCTTTGAAGAGTGTTGTGAGCTTCTTCTCCACACTCGAGAATAGGGCAGCATCTGATGCTGTGGCCTTGTTGAGCCTCAATTGCTTCATCTTGGGAACTTTGACAGCCCCCACCTTGCCAAGTATCGCACGCCTATCGACACCACCGGTGATTTGGCTGGCTTGTAGGGCAGGTGGATGGTTTGCTTTTGCTTGTTAGAGGGGTGAGAGTATTTGTTCCTGATGCGTTGTTTGTCTTGTTGAGAATAACGTTTGTCTATGTGGGATTGTTTTGTTGGAGTGTATATTGGCTTTTTGGGGAAAGAGAGAGGTGGCCTGGCCTGTTGGGTCATTGTTGACTCACTTGTCTTGGTCTTGTAGGCACGCACGCGTGAGAGATACTGTATGTGATTGTGTTGGATCAGTCGATTTTGGGGTTCCGTATTTGGTTTTGTATGAATGTAAATATGACAGACGATGGAGAGTGAGAGTGGCTGGTGTTTTGGTTGGTTTTAGAGAAGGGGCTGCGCTTCTTGTTTGGCCTTCTGATTTTGCAACCTGTAAAACAATTCCTGAGAAGTGTTAGCAGAACGTCTTTGTTCTTGTGGATGCGATTGGCTGTTAGGCCTCGACGTATTTCAATCTGTAAGAGAATATTTTGAAGAGTTTTTTAACATTGAAATATCACCATTCCTATTAGTTTATTATCAGTTTCTCTCAAATTTATTTGTTGTCTCTCTCTCGATGTATATCTTTGTGAATTCTCACTGTATGCATGAATTACTGTTTTGAGTTTATTGGTATGACATTATCTGTTCTTCAATGTGGGACTGGAAAAAGAAACGTTTTGGATCTTGTACCATTCTTAATGAAATTTTTCAAATTAATGAAAACATCAAAGTGCTATACACCTTTCACCTCTTTCATGACTCAAAACCAACTCCACAGTGATAGAATAATTTTATAGTTAACTCTCTCCAAATCCAATACCACACCTTTCAAAGTTCCCTTATTTCTCTCTTTCCATAATCGCATAAAATAGCCTCACTACCAATTATTAGGAAGTGTGATGATAATTCAACCCATTGGGTTGTTATGAATGGATACAACCAATATGAGTTGTTTATTATTAAATATTCTCTCTTAGCTCTTTAGAGAGGGAGAGATATGAACGAAAAAATCTCTTCCCACATAAAATGAATAACTACTATATGAGAGGGGGTAGAGATTTTGTGGGAAACAAAATCTCACCCCATATAAAATGGAAACCTCACATAGAGGCTAATGTGGTCTCTCCCTAAAGTTTTAACAAGTGCCTCTTAGTGGTGCATATCTTCTCTTTTACACAGAGAGGTATAAAGAGGGGGTAGAGATTTTGTGGGAATCCCTTATAAAATAGAAACCTCACACAGAGGCTATGGTGGTCTCTCCCCAAAGTTTTAAGAAGTGCCACTTATTGGTGCATATCTTCTCTTTTACACAGAGGTATAAAGAGGCTTCTCTTAGAGAGAAGAAGAAGAGAGATAGAGAAGTTTATTAGAGAGAAAAGGAAGAAGGAATATGAGAGAGAATAACCTCTAGAAGAAGGCACAAAGCCCAAGAAAGCTTCTTGGATGAGTTGGTAGCCAGTATTTTTAATAGTGAATTTTATCTCTTTTTCCTATGAACATAGTTTGAAAAGATGAACTACATAAATCTCGGCGGTAATAATTTATTAATTATTTTATTTGTTTTATTGTTGTTATTTTTCACTCGTACACACGCACAAATTTGGTGATTCTCTCTCATAAATCTGGTTCCACTGAGCTCACTCATATTCGTGCTAGAGCGCTCGACTGGGTGAGCCCAACAAGTGGTATTAGGTCGTATTTCTCTTGACTCTTGACACACCGCTCGGTCTTCCCGGTCATTGTTGCCTATGTAATGAGTCCAACGATCATAAGACAAGTAAGGAAGAAAACCTCATTATAAGTTGGATCCTATTTGACCAACGAACAAAGCGGTTGGGATACATTGTTGGTTAGAGACCATCGATGAGTGGCCACTGTGGAAAGAAGATCTTGACCTACAGATCATTGGTTACGACTGTGACCAACAGTGGATCACTTTGACTGCAACTAACTTATATTTACTAAAGGTGACACCATGACAACTAGTGAGTGCTTGACCACCGACGGATGCTTGATCACCCATAGAACCTGATCATCGATGAATTGACAACTGGTGGGAGCTCGACCACCATTGAGTTGGTAGATGGTGGGAGCCTGACCAGCGATGTATCCTTAACAGTCAATGGATCCCTAACAGCCAACAAATCCTTGACAACTGACAGATCCTTGACCGTCCCCAAAACCTTAATCAATAGTGGGAGCTTGATAGACGATGAATCTCCCTGGCTGCTAGTGAAAATAAGAGAGGGGTATGGAAGGTTGTGTGTATGGATTTAATATGGATTCTAGTACTAGGAGCAAGATGATATCACTCAATATGAATAATTAGATCATCTGAAAGCCAAAGATGGAAGATTTTCTATATTGTAGGGACCTGTGCATGACCATTGAAGGGATAGAATATGCCCATTGAAGGGATAGAACACAAGCTCGTAGGTATGACAGACAATACGCGAAAGAAGTTGGACTGAAGGGATAGAATGCAAGCCCGTAGGTTGACAGACAATATGCGAAAGAAGTTGGACTGAAGGGCTCTCAAAACTATCTGACAATAGTTGAAAGAAAATGTGTTCTACCATGTGCCAATAGAAACATTTACTAAATCATTGTGGGATAAGTTTCATAACTTGTACAAGAGAAAGGCAACAAGAATAAGGCATTATTTATCCAAAAAATGGTTAACATGATATTCCAAGATGGGGGATCCATTGCAGAACACTTAAATGAGATGCAAATCATTGTTAACTAACTCGTAATAATGGAGTTGTTCTTATAAGATGAGCTGCAAGGTCTATTTTTGTTTGATTCATAACTGGCATGGATGTCATTTGAGCATCTGATGGATCTGTAATGGAGAACCTCCCTCATGTTAGGAGATTGTTAGGTGTCATGTCCCATGAGAGAGGAGCACCGGTGAAATTCCCCTAATATTAGGGGTGTGGTGATAATACAACATGTTGTTATGAGTAGATAATAAATCATATAAGTTATTATTAAATATCTTTCTTTTATAGAGAGGGATACAAAGAGCCTTATCTTAGAGAGAAAAAGAAAAAAAATAAAAAAGTCTATTAGAGAGATAGAAAGAGAAGAAAGCCTCTGTGAAAGGGAAGAACCTCATAGAAAAAAATCCTAGAGAAGAACAGAGCCTCTAGAAGAAGTTAGAGAGTCCAAGAGAGCTCGCTTCTTGAATGATTTTGTAGCCATTATTTTTAATAGTGGATATGATCTCTTTCTCATGTGGACATAGCCTGAAAAGGTGAACCACTTAAATCTTTGAGCTAATAAATTATTAATTATTTTATTTACTTTACTTTTGTTATTTTTTTTACTCATACACACACGTACATATTTGGTATTTTTGTCCCATATATCTAAGTTTCGTTACGCACATCCACATTCGTGCAAGAGAGCTCGACTAGATAAGCCCAACAGTAATATCCCATTTGAAAAACAATAAGAAACAAAGAAAATGAAGCTTAAGGGAGTAATCCATTATGCAAATAAAAATATGGGTCTATCTTTTTCATTTTTTTATTGGATTTTTAGGTAGGTTGGGGGCAATGAATGTTTATATATAGGATTGCCTATAAAGATACCATTTACTTTTTGTACAAGGAACTCACAATCATTTTTGTCACGTAGAATTCAAAATGGGTGGTTGTAAGAGTATCATTGTTTAAAGACAAAGTTCTCAAAAAAAAAAAATATCGGATTTCATGACTTATCCCAAGCCATCTAATTTAACATCTAATGAGTTCGAATGATTGTGACCTCCATGTACAACAGATAAATAGTGTCTTTATAGATAATCTCTATATATGTGTATAGTTTTGTGTGTGTGTGATTATATGTTTAGGTTGGGTCAACCTGAACCCAAACCCGACTTGTCGGATCCAAAACTTGGGGGGTAGAGAGTTGTGGGTTTCTTGTTGTATTTTATTTATTATTGTCCCTTTTAATTTATATTTACAAAGGAATGAAATCCCTTTTCAGGAGGAGGTTATTTTTGAGGGAGTAAAGAAATTGTTTTTTTTCTTGTAAGAGATCTTTGAGGTGGACTCCCTTACAAATTCTGAGACATGATATATTCTCTCAGCTCTTTATTATTATTTTTATTTTATTTACTTTTTTTCTATTCTCCCTCTATCTTCTCTGCCCAACTCCCACTTGCCCAAAAGGAGACACAAGAGTTGGGCATGTGGCCAGAGGTGAGAAAGCTTGGGGCCAAAATTTGGCCATCTCTATCTCATCCCCTCACCTATCCCATTTCACTAATTGTAGAGAAAGACGGATTTCACAATCCCGAAACTATCCACATCTCAATTAGTTTAATAATGTTACACTGGCCAAAGACTCACAAGCAAAAAGAAAGAAGAAGAAGAAGAATCAAAATGAGGTGGAAGAAAAACTAATATTTCATTCAAAGATTAAAAATGGGGTACACAAAGGCTTTACAATCCTGACACCCAAGATTAACCTCAACAATTGTGAGCCAATTTTATTACGACACACCTCTCTTTAAATAGAGGCACTTACGACTGTATGTACTGCAATAACTCCTCACTCACAACAATAACTACTGACTACCTAGTAGTTCCATTATTTCTTATTTCACAAAACTACAAATTTTAACTCACTGCATCACTCATAATAAAATAAAATAAAAATTAATATAATTTCTAAATAATACGCTTTAGCAATTTTAACACTCCATTTTAAAATGATTTTCTAGAAAAGAAGCTATGCATACGCGATCACCCCATCATTTCCCGAAATTGAAAGTGTCAAATCTCGCATATATAGCCCTCTTTCTCTCTCATAAGTAGATTCACACCTCCCATTCTCTTCTACCTCTTTTCATCTGAGAGTTGCACCCCTCGCTCTTTCTCTCTCTCATATCTAGACTTCTCCTTTCCCGTCTTCCTTTATGTGGGTCATTTTCCTCCCCCGTTTACCCAAAAAGGGTGTCTCTGCATAGAGAGAGAGAGAGAGAGAGAGAAGTTTTAATTCACACAAGGAAACTTGAGGTAACTAGGCTAGCCAACCGGACGAGTCTGAGTAACTTTGCTTCAGCCAAGAGGACTCGGCCGAGTCATAAATGCTCTTTTAGTATCTTAAAAATAGCTATATTTGTTCGAAACCGATTGGGTACTTTAAGACTTCTCTAATTTTCATTGGTTATCATGAGGTTTTTTATAGAGAAATTTACATGTATATCTCATTTAATAATTTAAATTTCTAAAAATCCCCCTTGATTTTTTTATATTACGTGCATATCTATTTTGTCCATTTTTTTATTTCCTATTTTACTGATCTCCAAAGATTGGATATCGGAAGTTACAAATAATTTAGATTTTTAATATACATAATCATATTATTTTTTAAGCCATTTTTAACAACAAAATCGAATTATTTGGACATTGAAATTATGTAATCACTCTCAACTTTAGATTTTTAATATCCGAAGTTGTATTGTAATTGAGATTTTCATGCAACTCTGGATATTCAAAGTCTGAAGTTAAGAGTGGCTTTAGATTTTCAATATTTGAAGTAAAAAATCCTTTTTTTTTTAAGAAAAAAAGATAACTAATTACTACAGATGTTCAACATCCGCGGTGAAGATAAAATTAAAAAGCAAAAAAAGAGAGAAAGAGATGGAAGGGAATGATAGACTAAATAAATACGTAGGTAATATGCAAAAAACTTTAGAGAGATTTTCATAATTACAATTCTTAAATAAGATATAAAGTGAAATTTTTTTTTTTTTTTTTTCTTATATCGTTATTTTTAATGTAAATGACCTACATGACTCAGCATAGTATTTAAGACCTTATGTAGAGTATGAACAGGTATACGTCCCACTTTCCCAAACGCCCGAACCGCTTCGCTCCCAATGTTGTAGTCTCAAAGAGGGTTGGAAATATGCAGAAGCATATTTTCTCGAGGATTATTTCTCCCACCACTAGAACCGATCTGTGAACCGCGTTGCTCCCACTGTTGTAATCTCAGAAAGGGTGAGAATATCTTAAACATTAAAATTTGCAGTGACATTTTCCTCAAGGATTCTCTTCTCCCGCCGCCAAAACCGATTAGTGCTTTTCCCTTATGCTATTATTTTTCCCTCCTTTGCAATTCTCTCCTTTTATATATATATATATATATATATATAT